TCTGACTGACACGGGCAGTATCGTTTGACACAGGCACCCGTGTTAGCCCCTGTCCTGCCTATTTTGCCAAATTTCCAACCCAGCTTAACTGACACGGACCGTGTCGTGTGACACGGGCACCCGTGTCAGCCCCTGGTCTGCCTTTTTGCTAAGTTTTCTCTTTGATTTGTCATGTTGTATCCTTTTGAAAAACGAAAGCAAATGATGTGTGGATAAAGATATTACAGTTTGAGAAAATTTACCTCTTGAAGAGAAAACTTTAGAACACGTACGTATGTTTCTGGGTGCAAAGTGGTGATTAATCGAGCTCTTTTGGACCTTCTTAAAGCTATGCCAATCCTCACTTTATGCTGAAAGTTGTTGAGTCACTCCCACCAAGTCAACTTATAAGGTACTATTTTTAAGTTCAGAAGACGATGATAATGATGTTACAGAAGTTGTTCTTGTGTTTTAATAACTTCTATATGATGTATGTGAAGTATTTGGATGGTTTGTTTGGGAAAACTTGCAAGGTGTGAGAGGTTCAAAGATTTGGACTTCAAAGCTCAAAAATAGAGGTTTTATGGACAATTATGGTTTTTTTAGAGTATAGGGGTTTTGAGGGCTTGCTCATCTCTTTCTATCTTGAAAATGATCTCTCTATTTATAGGCAAGAAGTTTTAAGACAAGGGTTGATCAGATTTTCAAGATCAAATGTTGTGGCTAGGTTGGATTCTAAATGAAGCAAGCTCATAGTTCCAATGCTTTGTACTTTTCTTTATGGAGTTGTTGGATACTTTAAGCATGCTTATCCAATTTTGTGTGTTTAGTATGTGTAGAAGGAACAAGTTAGAGGCTCAAGAAGATCTGACTTTGTGATTAAAGCTACTTTGAAAGAATGACAATGCTAACTTTGTGCCAAAAATGGAAAGATCACTTGGACAATGCTTAAATAAAATGGACCATAGCTCAAAAGTTTGTGTAAACATTAAATTATGGTGAGATTTTCAAGTTAGAAGGCTTTCAAAACAAGATTATGCAGCATAGCATGTAGATTAGATTATGTGCTCTTCACCAAAATGACTTGTAATTCAAGAATGGATGTCCAACTTCATGCCTTTGAATCTCCTAGCTCAAGTGTGATAAATTCATGCTCTTAGATGTTTTGGAAAGCTTGAAACATTCTCTACAACTTCCATGTTAACCACTTTGGCTAAATCAAATTGTAACTTGATGAAAATTGGCCAAGAAGTTTGGACAAAAACCTGATCAAACCTGTTGAAAATTTCTCTAAGTGTTTATACAAAAAAATGTCATGACTTCATGAGCTTGTATCTTCAAATATAAGAATTTCTTGGAGATCAAACCTCTAAACAAAGTTTTAGAATTCACCAAGATCTACAACTTTCATGTTGAAAGTTTCCTTTGAATCATCTTGCATCTTGGTGAAAAAATGTCATGAAGTAATGAAATTATTAAGGTTAAAAACACTTAGAATTTTCCTAAGTCTTGGAAATCTTGACTTTTTGTTCACTTTATTGACTTTATTGATTTTCTTGACTCTTGATGACCAAGTTTGATATTTTTGAATGTCTTGATGAATTTTTACCTTTGGAATGTATTATTGACCAAAAAAGTCAAAGTTTGACTTTTTGTTTATCAGTTGACTTTTCATCAGTTGGTCTAAATTTCAACTATCAAACCTTTGATCCTGAGAAATGATTAGAGCCATGAAATTAGGTCAACGTGTTGCGTTTGAGTCCTTGAGATTATGTTTCAAGCCATTAGGTCATGTATTAGGTCAAAAGTCGCTGATCAGTCATTCTCAGTCAAAACCCTAATTTGGAGGCTCAGTGCTTTGGATGTGAGCTTGACTGATGAAACTATTGAGAAGCCTTGAGCATTTGAGATATTTGGTGAGAAATATCTTGAGAAAATAGATGGAAAATTTTGGGGTACAACAATGTGTAAACAAAATTAATACTTTTGTAAACTGAAGCTTTGTAGGTCAGACTATCAATGCTCGATTAAGGGTATAAATCTTTTGGGAAAATGTATTTAGATCAGTGAGGTATACTAATATTCTCCATTTAAAGGTGGATTTTATTATCATTATTATGTTCTCCATCCAAGTGGGATACTTGTTCTCATTTATGAAATTAACATCTTTTAGCTCCATGTCCTCTTCGTCTGCCGATTACCTCATTTTTTTGCACATGTATCTTTTTCTTTGAGATATCAACTTGACTAAATGAAAGAGTGGTGACTTGTGGTTTATAACACTTTTCCCAAATCCTTACATATCACACACTACCATACAAAGAGGTGTATTTTTTTCTCAGTATAGTGATTATTTAGTCATATCCTACTACTCCCAAGGAAGTTGTGATTTTGGTAGTTTGAACTTTGGGGAGTATGTTTTTCTATTTCTCTCTCTTCAAATATTCAATCATGGCATAACCTTTTTCCAATACATCATATGGGTCTAAGTCAGTCACGTCATATGTGTAGTTCACATTGGGCGTGCTTTCCTTAGGTGAAGAGCATTCTTTCCTTTTTTTGGGTTTAATCTTCTAGTTAACATAGTAACAACATCTAGATATTTCTTGGATCTCATTTACTATCCACCTGCCACTATTGTCCAGTGGGTACTTCTGATTCAAATAGAGTGAATAGGGAGACTCGCAATAACATCAAGCCCCAACGCGTTGAATGTCAAGCTCCACGGTCATTGTAACATGCCTTCAATGTATTTGTACTTTTGCTTTCACTACATGAAGTGTTGAGGGTTATGTGACCCCTTACGTTTAATTGCTCACTTGATAATCCTACCAATGGGTCCTTATTTTATTGGAGTTGATCTAGGGTGAGCTTCAAACCTTTGAAGGATTTCCAATACATGACTTGTTTGGTGTTCAAATTAAAATTTTGTACCAATATCAACATTGGGTTGTTCTTGTGAAGAACGCCTGCTTTGTGGTCCTATGTTGTGAAAATGATATTAGGGGTCCTCAAAATTGATGAATTCTTGAGTATTTCTTGGAGGAGGTTTACATGCCTTCCTTTTTTTTGTGGTTAAGTTGGATTTATCTTTTCTTGAGCATCACCAACTATGGTATCGAGGGTGTTCCCTACCGTATCAGAGTCTTTTTTTAGTGCTCTTATCTAGAGAGTCTTGCCTTCCATTTAAACTCCTTAAATAAGGAGGTTCGAAGTTCTTTAAAACTACAAGTTTCCAATTTTAAACATAACATTTGAGTATCATATCATTTCTTTTTAGAGTTATTCTCTACAATTTATTCTTGTTTGAATAATTTGACCCACATTTACATACTCTCACTTTAAAAGTAAAATTCTTTTCCGGTGGCACAAATTTTTCGGAGTCTCATTGTAGTATCAAAATATTTTAATATAGTATACATGTTCTTTGTAATAGTTTTTTTTATTTATTTTTTATTTAATAACTTATTTAATCGTAAGGAATATAATGATTTATTTAAATTCATTAATAAAAATTATTTTTTTAATCCATTTTTTTAAAGTACCACCAACAAATATTCATCATGTAACGTGCACACTTATATACACAATAGAAGCGACCAAGTTTCAGTCATAACCTGGACTTATCCAAACAAAGAGGGGGGGGGGGGGGGGGGGGTGTATGCAAAAGAAACTTAGATGTTGAAGTTTACTAATTTTAATTTACTATATCATAAAATATCATTGTATTATTAGAAGGAGAATTTCTTTCTACACCCAATGCATTTTTTTAGGATCTATGGCAAAATTTCTAAAATACCCCTAGAATTCGCTAGTGCATCTCTGAACGGAGCACCAACGTGAATTATTAGATTTACTTCGTATATGTATATCCGAAGTCATTTGTTAGACATTTTCGGATATGCATATCTGAATTTATCCCGGGCAGAACATTATTCAACATAATTCATAACATTCATTCAACATAATTCAAAGAAATTACATAAATAGTTATGCAGAAAATTGAAGTTACATATTGTTATAAACAGGTAGTTGAGGACGTCGCAACATCTTTATAACATCTTATTCGGATCATTGAAGCTTCACATCCATCTCAATCGGACCCTTAGAAGAGTATTGTTGAAAGGTATCCCACATAACCTCTAAATCGTCGTCGTTCTTAAGCTCAAACGGGGTGAACTTTATATTTTCTTCAGTATCAATCGAAGGTGAATGTCACTCAAGCTTGACCACCTTTCGAGTCTCTGGATATTGCAATAGAGAATGTAGTATGGTAATGAGGTCGGCAAACGACGTGTCTTGCGAGAACCTGAATTAAAGTGGCGACAGTGCACCATTGAAGCAAACAAAAGCAAGGTGTGGATATGTTTGTGTCATTTATGATTGTGGTGTGTGACAGATAAATAAATGGAATGGAAGATCCTATTTATAGTCTTTTTGGAGTAATATGGACCAAAAAAATCTTATCATGAAATATTTCAGATATGCTCTTCCGAATTCCCCTTATTTTTATCAAAATTAGGGGTTTTCAGACATACCATCCGAAGACACCATGACTTTTAATAAAAATAAGAGGTGAATTCGGAAGTTCATTTCCGAAGTAAGTCCTGTGTTTTTTTTTTTAAATTAAAGGTTTAATTCAGAAGTGCACTTCCGAATTATGCAGAACCAGAACACAGTTTCATTATTGTGTACAAAAATGCATGAAAAAGTAAACAATTGTAAAAATAAAATATAGATAATATGTTATATATGTATTAAAACGTATGGATTTTACAATGTATAGGACAATACATTAAAAAAAGGTTTGATTACATTTTAAAATGCACCGAACAAATTTTCACCGCTTAAATCTAAAACTGATTCTTTCTTCGACTTCTCCCTATTTGATTCTCTCTCAAGCTCCATCAAATTGGTGAACTCTACCATCCTTTCCAAAAAGTGATTTGGCCAAGTCTCCCCCTCTTTTTTATGATGTTTCATCCATTCCACGAATGTAAACGGTATATGACAACCCGATTTCAAATAAACCTGAACAAAATTGTGTGATCTAAGGTACCCAATACACGTGATGCGGCCGAATGGATCTTCAGGCGGGGGAGTCTGTAGAGGAAAAATGTTTCTGAAAACCCATACCTCGTCAAGTCGATACACACACTCTCATATGCACTTGCTATAAGATGATCCATTTCAGGGAAGCCCATCCACTTATCAACTGGTGCGCAAACGGTAACACTTGGAGAAAGAGCATGGTGAACTTTATTAAATTTCTCTGTAGTCACATATAGACGAGTGTAGAGTTCACTATGCACCGTCAACTCCGAAATAAGTGTTTGGCGCACAAGAGTGTGATTTTCCTCTCCTTTATCGAGTAACCCGGACACGACATGATACTCGCAGTTACCATTACTCCATACATCCATGACTCGTTCAATGTGTGTGTGCATATAAAGCGGCATCCCATCAATGTAGATAATCAGTGGTGGTTGTGGTTGTTTTATAATAGGCGGTGACATTATACCGGACATGACATTATACTTCCATAAATCATCCACCCTACAATAACCGCACAATTTAAACAAACACTCACATTTTCTTCATCCTGTGTCATCATGTTTTATCTTCCGAATTTTTGGAACATATTTCTCACTTCTCTCGCATGTCATCACAACAAATGATTGTCTTTTACTAGTCCCATTGTCAGACCTTTCAATCACAACGTCGAACCCAATTTTACTAGTTTCCATTCGAACCCACTCAATCATATGTTAACGAGAAGTAAAAATTTTATCATTTTGAAACTGTTGTCCATAATATATCAAAACATCATTTGTTTTATGAACGTCTTTCACCTCAATCGGTTTATTATCTTCATTGACCTTCTTTGGAACCTTTACGAGAGCTTTGACAATATTATCAGGGTGCACCATACCTAATATGTTAAAAAAAACATGAATTCTGGTTTTGAAATAGATATTTTTTCGGATATGCACATCTGAATTATGGTAGGTTGAATTCGGAAGTGCATATCTGAAACGGTGTTGTTTTCATCTTTCACAAATCAGCTTCAAGGCAGGAAATGTGTAATGAAATAAGAGAAGTTTAACTTAAATTGCAACTTTCTATGTTCTCTTTGCTATACTCAAACACTTGAAACTTGATTTGGAGAAGAAAAATCCATTGAAAATGATTGAAGGTTTATGAGGATTTTGTTTATGGAGGAATAGAAAATGAATGAAATAGTTGGAATAGGTGACCATGTAGCATTCTAATATGGAAAGAGTAGTTTCGGAGATGCATATCTGAAATCACCTATTAACATATTTCGCATGTGCATATCCGAAACTACCTCAAGAATTTCAAATCCATTGTTTATATTATAAAACATGAAAAAAGGGTTTCTTTGGAAAGATATTTTCAATTTTTTTATAGGTGATTTTCACCACTTCTAAATATAAAGAGAAAGAGAAATTCTTAGAAGCTGTTAAACAGATTTGGTGGCAGACACCCTTAACCACCCCATTTCCAACTAATACCCTATAAGCAAACAATACACAACTAATTCACTCATTTTTCCAAGATCACCAACAACCAATCTTTTACAGTAAGAAAATCAAGGAGTATCATTCTTGAACAAAAACTGACCAACCAACCTGGATAAAGACAGCAACAAATTGAGGATTCTCAATGGAATCAAAATAAACACTTCCCAACCACAAGTATAATGCTAGCTTCTGTCTTGAAAACACTGCTACATTGGGAACACAAGTCTACTATAGTGTAAGCATGAGTAAGTGAATGTTGTCATTGAGAGTGTAAAAAGAGAAAGAAAGAAGTAAAATTGAAATAGTGTAAACGTGAGGGTGCTAACTGCTAAAACAAGTTAAATTGTGGTAAAATAGTCCATTTGAGATTAAACATTTTCCAGTATGAGAAAAAGATTAAAACAATTTTTGAACTCAACAAAAATGTACAACATTGAAGGTTCCTAACTATAATCTTTTCATAACAAATAAAAAAGAATAAAACCAACGTCTCAAACTCAAAGTTCCCTTGAAGAACTCTGCCAAACCTCAACACACTGCAAATCTTTTCTTGTCAAGAACATTCTACTCCCTCCAAATGCCAAATTATTAATCTTAGCACCCCCTATATCTTGTCCCCTCCCCATCAAATTCTTCTTGAAAATCCTGTTACTAGAACCACCCATTATAATCTCTGACCAAAGCTCTACATCACCACCCTTACTGCAAAACACTTGATTCCCTTGTGTCTCAATTTTGCAACCAAAGCCTTCTTTTTTACCATTCATGACTTTTCTCTTATCACCTAAACAAACCCATTCGGTTTTGTCAGAACCCAAGTTCTTCAAATCCATATAAAACACTTGACCAGAATTGACACCAACTTTAAACATAGCAGACAAGGAATCAGAAACTGTTAGATCGGCAAAACAATCAACTTTCTCTGAAATCTCCCAAACAATATTCCCAGAACGAACATCCCATAACCTAATATTCCCGGAAACACCGGAAGGCCCGCTGTGTGATCCAGACGCCATTAACAAGTTATGACTCTCAATCCACTGCAATTTCGTAGCTGGTATCGCCGAATCAATATCGGCGCCGTAGATCTCATTGTGACCAATTTCAGTGACGGGTGTCAAGCTATTCAAATCATAAACAAGTATAGAATTGGAGTTTCTCCGGGAGGATTCAAAGCTGACGAACATGTTATCGGGAGAGGATCCAATGGCTTGAACGGTGGATCCCGATTTGGTTACGTTCTCCCAATTGAGTGTCTCTTTTACGTAACCGTTTTCCAAATCAAGAATCTGTAGGCCGGAGAAGTCGTTAGCACCGGCAGCGGCGAGCGACGGAGATAAAGCTAATAAAGAATCAACGGCGGTGAAGTGCGTTAGGATAGTAGATTTCCGACGGAGTGACCAATCAAAAGTGGTGATCTTGCTACCGTGAGAAACATGGAGAGAGCCGTGAGAGGTGGTTGCGATGGAAGAAGGAGAGTCTCTACCGTTAAGCGGTAAGTGGAGGGACCTCTGGAGATTGAAAGGCTCTAACTGGGAAGGGTTAGAGAAGGAATTAACGAGGAGATTCTCGATGCCGTAGAAGCGGGACTCGACGACGAGGTCTTGGAGGTCGAAGGATTTGGCTTTGGAAGGGAGGTTACCGGTGCGGAGGAGGGAGAGGAAGAGGGAGAAGATTTCGGGGTCTCTGTCGATGAAAGGTGTGAAAGGGGAAGAGGTTTGGGAGATTCTTGAGAAGAAGGTTTTGGGACCGGCTGAGGTTAAGGTTTGTTTGGTGGTTTGGAACATTTGGCCGCCAACGTCGATGGTGACTATGTTGGAGTCTGGTCTTGGTTGAGATTGGTGAAGAGAGCCTGCGAATGGTGGCATTTTGTTTTGTTTTGTTTTGTTTTGAATTGGAATGAGTATTGAGCGGAGAAGAAGTGGTTATATATGTGATAGGAATGGGTTTGTTAGTTTGTTTTGAGATAGTGAGCGTCATGCCCAACGTGTGTTTTTCTTATAACTACATTACTTTACTTTTTCTCTTTCTTCCTGGCCGCCCGAATTGGACCATTTATGCTATTTTTATTTACGTACTATTTATTGTTTCAGAAAATATATAAAAGTCAAATGAAATAAAAATAGTCAGACCAATGCGGCTGGGTAGAGTATTGTGATACATATTTTGAGGGTTGAAAGTCAAATTTGGTGCCCACGTTTTTGTTTTACTAGAATGGTGTATGTAGTTTTTTTTTTAATGAAGAATAGTAAAATGGACTAGACTCACTTCTCTATTTTCTTTGCGCTCAAAATTGACTTCTCATTATTATTATTTTTTTTTATGGCTACTTCTCATTATTCTTAGCATGTAATAAAGTATGTAAAAATTAATGATATCTTTTAGAAGTGACTATATCCTAAAGATATATTTTAAATATTAGAAATAATATACGATCGAAATAAGAGTGTCAAATTGACATGTTTGTAAGTTTATATTTGTTCTGGACTGGGCCCGACTGACCCAATAGCATTGATAAGGTCCAATCCAAACGGACTTGCTGGGGGTCTCGCCGACCAGAGGATCACAGTCGTGTCCGACGTATTCCTTGGGGCTACTTGCTCGACCTCCTACTGTCCAGCTCGACCTCAGCTCGAGCACCCCTCTTAGGGCAGACTCGGACCACTGCACCCTCACCTGGGTCCCGAAAAGACCGCGTCTCTGTCCGCCCGCACTTCACGCAGAACATTCAGGGAGGGGACCACGTACAGGTCCCCACTACGCACGTAGAACCTGGCAGTTCCTTCATTGGGCCAAACATGCCCGGCCCAATGAAGGAACCTTGGCCCAGCGCTGAGGGCTATAAATACCCTCTGTTTCCAAAGGGTCAGGTATTCATCATTCTACCCATACTCTTGCTATTGCCTGCTCGTGCTCTTACTCACTTCACCATCGGAGTGTCTTGCAGGTACTCCCCCCATCTCGTTCAAAACTTCAGCTCGGAGCCAGCCGTGACGGTCCAAGTCTGATCAGGTTAGATCAGTGGCGCCGTCTGTGGGAAACTAGCTTCCCCGTCTTGCAAACTCAAAGACCAAAGCTCAAATCCAACTACCTGTCATGGCTGATCAAGCTCGCGATGAGCAGAACGTCCGTGTCGTCGACACTAATAACGGCGCCGCGGACAAAAACGGACACCTTGATAACGCCGACAATCCCGGCCACAACACCATTCCTGCGACGACCGCCCCCGGAACTTCCTCCTACAGGGACGAAGCTACTGCATCATCCTCCTCGCTCCCACCACCACTCGAGGACGACCCGGCGGCCCTCGCGCACTACAGAGCCGCCCGGTTCCAGGAAGTCCCCATCCCCTCCGGGGCGGATGCCACAACACAAGCGTTGTTCGCAGCAATTAATCAAACGAACTATCTCATCTTCGCCCAAGGAGAGAGACTAAAGGCACTTGAAGACGAGCGAAAACCCCCGAGGAGGCATCGGAGACCACATACTCCCCCTCCTCGAGTGACTGAAGCTCGACACCCTTCTCCTCCACGGAGACATTACATGGAGACTTCTCGAAGCCCATCTCCCCGGCCAAAACAGAAACGGCCTTATCTGGAGAGGCAGCCCATCATTCAGGCCGGAGAATCCAGTCGTGACCCGGCGATACTAGAAAGAAGGCACTCCGGAGATGGGCGTGTGAAATTCAACAACCGAGCATCCCGCTCGAGAGAAACTCAGCACGACCTGGACCGTCGTGCCAGACAATATTACAGGTCCCCATCTCTGTCTCCGGAGAGAAACGACGACGACGACCCCCGCGGTCCCCTGTCACAGGCCATTATGGAGGCGCCCATCCCCCCGGGCATGGAGAAGCCCCTTCACTTAAAGGAGTACGATGGAGTCGCGGACCCGGTCGACCACATAGACGGGTTCGAGGCTATGCTTCATTATCACAATGTCGGGGGCCCCATCAAGTGCCGTCTATTCCCCACGACTCTCAG